ACGGTAACAAACGAAGTCAAATCATGAATGCCTTCCGCTGTCTAATATAGGATAATGTAAGATTAGATTCGATTTCTCACTCTCAACAAACTCTCCTAGCTTGTTCATCTTAGCAATAGACAAATATCAACCTTACTGTTAATGTCAAAGTTACTGCGGTCATGGTAATCAGTGCAAAGCACCCTTTTTTTTATTGTAAAAGAACGGAGAGGGAAAGAAAAGTCAAGGATTAGTGTTAGAGTTGATCATGTTACAAGATTATGTTTCTAGATACAGTCATTTGGGTTCGCAATGCCTTCGCTCCCCACTATTCCCATTTTTCTATTCTCTCCTACCCTCTCTCATTGTCACGAATAAGGTCAATCGGCAGTCAATTGGCTCCCGCTCGGGCACCGCATGCTTTCGCGGGTGGGCCGAACACATCCACGTAGCTAGCGAGTCCGAAGAGCTTCGGCATAACTATAACTTCAATTTGCACTCAAGCTCGCTTCCATATATTACAAGAACAGAAAGTCATCCTTCTCGTACAAATACGTTCGCTCTTTGTTTCGGGTTCAGAAATAAGTAAAATATTCGGCGCACTGTCTCGTGCGAGCGAATTCGTCACTTACCGGTTCTTACATCATACAGGGGCTCGCCTATAACCAGCTAAACCTTAAGCGTCTTAGAAATTCTATGATATGGAGTCGTTACTATTTCTGCCATTTGTTGGTATGGAAGAAAAAAACATCATGTCAAGTAACATTGTGTGAGTTCTCTCGGGAAGCTGCCTTGTTAAAGTTTCATCCCTCATGCACACGTACCGATAATTCCTTTCATGGCTAGTCATCCACTGGGTTTATATGGCTCGGTGGGGTGATAAGGTGCAGCAGGTCGGAAAAAATTGAACCTTGGATGTCATTCCTTCAACATTTTCTAGAAAAGCAAACACAGTTGAGAGATCACCGCCAAACTGCTCACTACGAAATTTAAAATAAGATCAATGTTATATCTATTCTGACTACTCGAAATTAATCACATTCACAATCATTGTAATTTACATATATTTCAACCACCTGTATTGTCATCTAAAAGTGCCGTATGGATATTCAACAGCGTTCCAGTATTAAAGACTCGTTCCTGATTTAATGCGGTATCCAACAGATATTCCCAGTGGCTTGAATAATAAGAAATCGCACAGGTTATAAAGGAGATGGTTCAACAAATGTTGACTTGCAATCTCCTGAACTGCTAACCTTATTCAGATAAAGCAACCCATGGTAAAGTGACCTGTGGAAAAGTGGTAGCAAAGTTCTGTGGTAAAGTTGTTACAGGTAACTTACCAGCGCTATATAATATTACCAATGGTAAAGACGTAACAGTAATGCGCCTATTTTGGACCAGGCGTGCATGCAAATCATGAATACCCATTCGCAGCGATGGGAAGTCTCCACTGTTTAGGTATCCCATATTTGATTGGCAACGAGATTACCGGGTCGATTCATAAAAGAAAAGTGCGATTACTTTTCAAAGGATTATTCATGAACACAATCAAATATCAAATCTATTATTGCATGAAATTCATTTGCATGGCTTGTAATTTGAAAAAGAGGATACCAATAGTTGAAAGCTAGGATATTCCATTGGTGATGTTGGAGATGATGGGAGAAGTTGCGAAGATATTCGTGATCTTGAGATGATGATCAAATCGAACAAAATTTAAATTTGTGTGAACCATGATGAAATCGGTAAAAGGGAATGTATTCGTAATGTCACCGGAGTAAAATTAGTAGGAGGTATCATATTAATAGTTAGCCGAATAGGCATCAACACAAAGGGATTAGATAGGACCAAACTATCAGCCATGCGTGTAACTCAAACTTACTAATGGCCAATATTGTTGAGCTTTTTTTTACTTCCTTGACAAATGCCGTCAATCCAGAGATCAACTTTGCTATAGTATGATCCAGCGAATTTATGATTGTCGATCTTCAAACTTGTGCTTAAAATATCATCAACTTCGATAATAGTCAATAGTAAAAAGGGAAACCGATACTTGAAATGACTCTCAAAAAATTATCTCCTACATGGGGCTCGAGGGCCAGCTATTGAAAGCTCCTGTAAGTTTTTCCTAGCAACTAGCAAGATCTTGCCATGCAGACTGAGTCTTGGCTTTGAAGCTTCCCGAGACAATATATGCACAGACTCTTTGACATCGAACCGAATGCATCACAACAGTGAAAAGTTTCCGCTGGTCATTGGAATTGTTTGAGAGCTACCGCACAGAAGAGATTGGAGCGCGTTAGTTTCTAGAAGGAAAAGGGAGAGACGGAGGTGGCTATTAAGCTTCACCCTTATCTCTTCCCGTCTTTCAGCTAATAAAGTGAGCGTTTCTCCCGATGTCTTCTCCCGAGTCAATGCTTCAAAGATTCCACTCGTTAAATTCATTAATATCTCCATAAGCTTGACTTCCCTCTGGCCTCTGAGATTGACAAACGCCTACCAGAAAACTCGGCACCTCATCTTTATTTGCTCAACCCTGATTACAGCTCCATGGAAAACGAGTTCAATATAGTACGAAAGGTGAGAGAAGCATGTCAAACAACATAGAGGAAAAGCAACTTAAGCTAAACACTTCTCGCACCTAGACGCGTCAGGCAGATTCTTCTTCGACACTGCATCTAGTCGGATTATGCCATAACGTCTAGCTGAGCTAGCTCCATCAAATAATGAGAGTTTGAGGCGCAGACGACAAGGTGACTTGTCATCTTCAACCTTCCATCTCAAATACATCTAATCTGTTTTGATCTGCATGAGAAAAGGGCTCACGTCAGCTAGACACGGAGGTCTTTATTTTTACAACACTTTTTCGAAACGACGAGGAGAGAAGCGACTCGATTGACATCGGAATAGCCTCAAAGAGTTCAACATGGAGAAGAGTGGAGCAAAAGGAAACTAAAAGAGAACACAACAAGCAATGATACTTCATGATAAGTTTCCGATATCATCAAAAACATATGTATACCTCAAAGGTAAAGTCTTGCGATAGATTGCATCCTGCAACATGAAAACGACTATCTACCAACCTAGTGTACACTTGAGCACACTGCGAGACTCTGACGGAGGATGATTAGACGTGCAAAATTAATCAATTCATTGTTGTTAGTTACCGAACTGCAGAAAACCAGAGTGCTTTCGGAGCACTCATACAAATATTCTCGAGAAGAAACGATTTGAAGCCGGAGAATTTGAGAAGATACCAATGAAATTGATAATTACCGGTAGCAAACAATACTTACGTGAGACATGAGCTAGATAGCTCCATCTCACCTTTTATTATGTTGAAAGACAAGTCTGAAGAAAACCCATGCCGTCAATTATTCGCAATGGAAGTGAACCCAGGATGAAATCTTCGCTAATAGACGACTTCAACAGTAGATCATGCATCTACCTTTCGCAAGACTGCCCTCGTCTCAAACGCAATTGGCGTTTCATGCCAAGATGTTAACTTTCCTAATTCTGGACATCCCAATCTTCGAGAATATGATGGACTCAATCCACGATACAAAGGCACAGAAGGAAGAAAAATCGAAGCAGACGATGTGTAATTGAGAACGTCAGAAGTTACTCATTATATACACCTTCAACAGGAAGGAAAGTTGGTCAATAAGCAATCCCCTACAGTTCTGGCTACAAAATAATGTATTTTGAGCAATTTGAAACTTCATGTTTGAAATAGATTGAGGGTGATCTATCATTTTCAAGTTCGATATCGTGGCAATATTCCACGGTTCCCAAAGTATAATGCGATGGACTCGTGCTAGGTAAGATAATCACATTTTTGAATTTGACCTCCAGAATAATACTGAAACAACTTAGAGGAAGGCGAGGAAACCGGATTCTGATAGTAGTCTTCAATCTACAGCCACTATTTATGGAAAGGCTCCAAACTATTTCTCAGTAGTATCGTTGGATGCTGGAGTCACACCTACTCATCTGAGTTCTATGTGCATTAATTCCTGCATCTTGCCTCGAATTATCAGATATCCTTTGCATTGGTTACACAAGATCCTTGCTTGATCAGCTGTCTACGCGCATAAATCGCGTTCTTCCTACTAGGCAGCCACGTCACACGTCTCTACAGACCCTGTTTCTCACTTAGTGGTAACCTATTGCAGGACTTTCGCCTTCTGAGTTCACCAATAAGTTAAGGGCGACACATAAAATCATGCTTGGAGACACAGGACTGTGGAAAATAGATTAGCCCTCTTCGAGGATGCCGACATTCTCGCAAGGGTGATGGATGTCGGAACGCTTTATTTCAGATAACGTAGCATATTGATTGTAAGATGAAATCTTATGAAATCTTTATTAGATCACCGCAAGTGCGAAAGCATGTATGATATCTATCGTTACATACATAGGGGTTGGTCGAATGGTAGCCAGATACTAGAATGTCTGGTTACGTCGCATAACATTGTCCGGACATTGTAGAACAAATAAGATTTCAGGAATTAAATGATACTTCATATGGACATATCTCTAAATGATAGATAGCTAATAAAAATGACCAATCAGGCCTGCAAGTGCTTCCGCGTTGCTCAATAAAGTTGGTAAGCCAGTAGTCTAAGCCTCGTAAGTGACTGTCCAGCAATTTTCAAACTCAGAGGCACTGACCATCTGTTAGATGTTCATTTATATCTGCAGTATTGTCATAAGGACACACTTGTATTATTTGCACAAATAGAACTTGTTCTTTCTTTGCCCAGTGCAAGATATGTTCTCGCGAGTGAAGCTGGCTTGAAACTTCTCATATAATACAAGAGATAACAGCTTTTATTTTCTGTGGATTTGTTGAAATGAACATCCATTTACTTCTTTGCGTCATCGTGTCGGTAAATTATCGCTACTGCCATCTCATAACCATTACATGGTAGACCAGTATGACTTTGATCAATTGACCAACTCTAGATGAAGCATGAGGGCTTGTGCTTACCTTCTATATAACAATCAACTCTGCCATGTTCAAGAGAGAACACGTTGATAATTTTTGCTACTTCCTTCTGACTAAGCAATTTTCATCGATCATACTTACTGAATTTGATTCCAACTTACATTTACACCAGCTGTCCAAGTCGCAGATAGTCTATCAACATTCAACACGCCCTACTTCAATCATACGGAGCAATGGCCATACTCTACCGTCCCCTTCCATTCCAATTCGAGGGAGTTCCCTTGATGCTTGGTTGCCAAATATGTCGGAAAGTAAGTCGCCAGCTCGTGCTGGGCCCAATTAAATTGCTGTTCCTTTCGAGGCCCAGGTTGAACTTGGAAGATGTACATAACATAAGTTCCGGCATAGGGAAATGAGAAGTTATGAGACTTTCTTAATTGACAATGTCGATGCTCTCAGTCTCCAATCATTCAATGAAAGTAGAGATAAGTTAAGAAAGGGAAAATCAATGTCTCGAATTCGTCACCGTGTTCGCAATGACAATTTCCTTGAGTTATACAATCACGTATGTTAGAGCCATTTCAAATGACAAATACCATCTCACAAGTGAATTTGGAAAAGACTATTGTTGTTGTTAATCAAAGATTTGATTACTTTGGCATTCAATCGGACGGGGGATTCGTGACCCGTTTGCTACCTCTAATGTTCCCCTATCTTTACATCTCAGGCCTATCTGTGTGATCTCCCACAATCACCGGTCAACAGCCACTTGAACTCTTGTCCAAATAGGGACCAACAGATTTAAAAGAAACCCAGATTGATAGACGGTACCTGTGGTGACCTACCTTGTTAATTTCAGGACTGAGTAAGCAGAGCATCGAGGAGTAGCATAACATCGCCAATACAGCATCATTTATTACTTAACCATTCAACATCACTAAGAGACAGTAGTGTTAATGTAACCATGGAATCCAACTTCATTTTTTGGTAGAATTGAGTGTTCCATCAAAGGGGTCGAATGAGTATGATGATTTACTTTTTCGTGTAGATGTGTGGATCAATGCCCTACATTTTTCTGATAGTCGAGTAACTACCAATATTTCGTCCTTCGAAGCCAAACAGTAATAACAATAAGCTTAGGAAGACTGCATCTAAATCTACATTTTCTTTATCGAGCTGTAAGCTTAGCTACTTCTTATTACACTACGAGAATTGATGAAGATACCTGCCCATCATCTCAATCATCATTCACGATCTCAATTTAGATGTTGCTATACTTCCCTTGTTTCAATTCTCCGATTTATCTCATCAGGCATTATGACGCCCCAAATCCCCTTGAAATGTGGCTCGAGGTATCTAATCTTGAATAAAAATTCACCACACTCCAATCAACACCATCAAACACTCTGCCTATCCTTGTTTTCGCATCTACCACGAGAGATAATCCAAGACAACAATGCTCCTTATATCTTATTATGCGAAGCAATAGAACCAAATAGTCTCATTTCATGATTAATTTTACATGGAGGCTCTAGTTCGATGTGTTGAGTGCTAACAATAAGGTAATGTTATCGCAAGTTTGGCGCCTCTTGTCATACCACAGACCTAATGCGCTCTTGTTTGGCTTGCTCTATGGTAGTTCTACAACCAAGTTTATGAGTCCAATCAGTACTACTACTTCGTTGGTCTGCAATAACCCGTTTCTGTCATACCCATCTGATAAAACAATGAGATAATCGAAAGGCGCAGTTACAGGTTTGGTAGGGCGCAGAGCAATCCATGCTAATCATGCAGATTTGACACAATCCGTCCAGAGCTACAGGTCAAAATGCAAATAACAAATATGACGAGTTAATAAATGACTACTATGAGTGTGTCATTCCCCAGGTCTCTCAAGATTTACTAACAGTATTTGTGTAGTTGGTCACGTATTGCAAATTACTTCAGGTCAGGAACACGTGAAGGTTTTCCATATGAACTAGCTCTGATTGAATTTCTCTGAAATTTCCAACGTCCCATCCGGATAAGCTGAGCTTGACGCATGAGTAAGTTTATAGTCTTGACCTCAATGATAGGATTTACTGCCCATGCCACAGCATACATGTATTCTGAGTCGGGTAGCCAACCTGTCCCAGAGCCAGAATTATTACAAACTGGGGGCCTCTCTGTTTTCATTGGCCTGAAATCTGGTCAGCCAAGCTGGAAGCTCTTCCGTCCCAAATATACAATCCAAAAGGATGGACTTGCAGCCACCACAATACTTGTTTTCCGCTCGCCCATCCTTGCTACCGTTATGTGGACGCCGGTATCCAATTTGAAATCAGCCGGAGGTCTTAGGGGAAAAAGAGCAAACGAATTTCCACCACACCTTTCGTCATATGTTCTGAGAATGGAGAGTAAATTTTTTGCGTGTGTCTCTATGCACTGGTTCTTGTCGTTACAAACAAATTCTACATGGCATTCAATTGCTTGTCTCTGCTACTGCCCCTTTAACTCATCCCGGAGTCGTCGCAAAAGCTCCGGCAAGGCCTAAGGCGATCTTTTCTCTGTCGCATAACAAAATCCTCTCACACAACAGCTGCATAGGCATCAACACCAGGTATTCTAGTCCCCAATCTCTCGCTGAACATGAGTGCCTTGGTAGCCAGCAAAATCGTGGATAAGTAACATCAAGAAGTTGTCAGTGAAATCAACACCATCAATTCACGGAATCTTTTATGATTGTACGAGCGAAAACTCTTCTCAAGCCAGCATTATCTTGATGAATTTAAATGCCATTACACCTTTTTTTTTCTTAATTCCTTTCTTGAGTTCGCGTTTACATAAATCGCTTCGCTGATTTTTTCCAGTTCCCCTTGAGAGAATGCGGAACATAGCTGCAGCGTCCTTAACGTAGGCCGTAGTCCAAGATCTTTTAGGAAGATACAAACGTACCTTTTTGGTATAGCAAACGGGTTCTGTTCTCTCTGTCACTTAGATTGCTTGTATTCGCATCTTGAGTGTGAATAAGGACCTGAAGAAGCCACAGGCTCTACAGTTGCCAAGACTGTTGTAGCGAGCCGTTCTTGCCCTGGATTCCATTCGAAATGCGGTCGATCCAAGGACCGGTACCTGCCGATTTGAGAATTTGCGACACTATCATGCAGCAATGATAAAGGTAGTATTAGATGGGGCTTACGGGGAGAAAATGCTCGCATCCCTATGTCTAGGATGTTTAGTACTGAGACTGTAACCACAAGGTACTAGACCTCTCGGAATGCTTATCCGACCACATTTTGCAGCGGCTTCCGAGATAAGCTAAGCCAGACTTGATCGGTTTGTTCTTTGTGTATCCGCTCAAGCGATGAGATCTTTCTGTCGTGTCTCTCTGTCGTGACAGTAACCTTCAAACAATAAGCAAGTAAACAATTTAATTTCCACTGTCTCTTCGATCATGCTCCATTCCGTCAAACTAGAAAAGTCTCGTACCATTAAAGCTCGATTTGAATTCGCTGGAAAACTAGAAGTTAAGACAGCGATATGGAAACGTGCAGTAAACGGGCTCAGGTCCACGAGCAATGCATAGGCTTCGGTTGTCGAGAAATGTTTGCTGGCTTGGACCTTGCTGTCTAATGGCATATTAGATATTCGCAAACCACTTAAGAAGCGATGTGTGCTCTTTTCAAATCATAATGTTCAGATCATCGGCTTCACTGAGACTTCTGCTACACTAAGACATCTCAGAGCTTCTACGACCCATTTCATCTGCAACATCGCTTGTTTATAATAATTATGGCGAACCTCACTCCAGCTCACCAAAAAACCCCGCGATACAACTGCAATAAATGTTCCAAGATATTTACAGCCAATCACAACCTCAATATTCATACAAGGATGGTGCACAAGGATCTAGAGAGATGCCCGCTCTGTCACAGCGTGGTCAAGAACCTGGTACAACATAATACCAGATACCATGCGAATGTCAGCAAGGGAAGAAGGCAGTGCCAATACTGTTTTAGATGGTACATACGGATTTGTGCGCATAAATGCTCTCGGCAAAGTCACCGTAGTTCATACGTACCAATAGCTTGTGCGTTGCTCCGTACTGCGGAAGATCTTGAGCCATTGCAAGTTTCTTCATCAAGAGTTTCCCTAAGTATGTATACAAGCAAGCTTTAGCAGCGTTTCTCCATATCTAACATGGAATAGACCGTCTCCCGAGCACTCCCATCTTATGTCCACAGCATTTAAGGAGTAGATCAGTCTCCTTGCTGTCTTTGAACAACACTGATCTGACATATCAAATTTCATCTTCCAAGCTACCTTGCAATGACGTCTCGTCACCATCTAAGTGGGCACGCCTAGATTTTCTGATGGATATGATGGTACCATTGGACCCAACAAAGGGCTCACCCGACCTGATATCGATGTATCCACATGGTATCAATGACACTATCTCCATATCTCCGACTCTATTACCATGCAACAAGGAGTTCGCCTCAACCTCTTCGCCTCAACGAACTTTGGATACTGATTTACCGGATTACGACATCCAGGTGCCTAGTATTGAATCTTGCGATGCAGATCATCCATCTGCCGAAGAACCAACAATAACTGAAACCGGCTTCCAGTGGATGACATGGGAGGAGTACATGAGTTGCAATTTTAATACACTAGAGCAGTGGTTATGATTTGAGCATAGATGGAGGTCATCTAGCTGTAGATATGTATCATCAATATATAATGAGCGGATCGTGGGATTCAGGTACTGGTCGTGTATCGCTAGCAAAATTAATTGCTTCGAAGTTTACATCTGGCTAATTTCACCGTCAAATACTATCTTTTATTTTCATATTACCCTACCCATACATATGATTATCCCATCAAGCTTATCATTTCTTCACATTCACTCTTATCTTAATAATCTTTCGAGTTTTCAAACCTGAATATGCGTCCACATCCATGCTCTCGCTTCTGTTCGATATGTGACGTCCAAAGCTCGTATGAAGGGAATAAGCATCTCGCTACCCTCAGCTAATATGCAGGAGGAATAATTTTACATATCCCGGATTATTTGCAAGACCCGGTGTGACACTCCTGGTCGCTAGTTAAGTGCCGGTATGCTTAGCTTCACGATTCAGCGTATTTATGGACCAGGGGGAAGAAGTATTGGGGGCAGTAAGAAAATAAGTTTATTTCAAGTCAAAACCAGTGGTGCGAGGCTCCAGTGTTGGGTTCAAAATTGGTGCTGGATTTAATAAATATTGACAGCTTCATCAGACACGCGACAGATATGAGGAATTGATTTGTGCATCTTAATAAGATAGATGGTTATATATGTACAAGAGAGAGACGCCAGGACTAACAATGAGGTGGATAATTTTGTGATCGACCCTTTAATCATCCTGGGAATACCAATTTCCCAGCTTCAAGCTACACAACAACCTCCTCATAATCTCCTAGCCTTGTCCCCAATGTCAACCTCCCATATACAGATTTGTTAGCAGATTTGTTGACCAACAATCCGATCCCGTCATGATTAGGTCACACAAGTACAGATTAGCAGAAGTGTGGCTTCGAAGTTGAGTACAGTGGTCGGATTAAGGAGGTTAGATTAAGGTTGATGTCCGTGGAGCGCGGCTCACCCCCGCCAGCAAACCACGGCATTGACTCGCATAAGTCGCCTCGTGGAATTAAGGGACAGCGTAGGTTTCATCTGATTGCTCTTGTGTGTAGCAATCGAGTGCCGACTGCAATCTTGTAGCATCCGGAATGTTGTGTTCGTACTTGTGTCTTGAATTTTGCATCCGCTTCGTGTCGGTGGCTAAGTCATGACTTAGTCAGCATTGAGATCGATGTCACGCATGGTCATATTTTGCTTTAATTTTGACCACACCAAAGGCTCTCAACATGAAACATTGACTATACTTGACATCTTTATGTTTGTAATTCTTCTCGATTTTACTGTTCTTTATTAAGCGTTCCATAACCTAGTATGCATTTATACCCTGTATGCAGTCCCCCTCCACTTCCCAGAAGTACTGTTTCGTGGAAGCCACTCTGCATTACTATATGTGCCGACATTGTCTCAAAATATGACGGGACCCATCAATCACTGTTCAAATACTATTCCTTAGCTGGTTTTAGCAAAATATCCTTTGATTATCCTATGATGCACAAATAACACACGGTATATAACACCAAGTCACGCAGAATCAGAGAGATTTGATCTTCAATTGCAGCAGTCTGCGCAATTCGTGTTGTTTTCATCAACATGTATCCAGCGATACATCTTGTTTCTAATCTTGGGTTCTTGTGTTAGCGAAATCGCGAGAGTTACGACAGTTCATCTGTTTCTCTGGCAATTCCGCAAGTTTCGAACAGCAATTACAAGGTTGACTGCCGATAAGATTTAAGCTTTTGCAGATCACTAAACGAGGCAGGTGGAAGCTGCGGGGTTTTGAATTACTTCAATCTACTCTATCCTGATTGGCGTTTTGCGATATTGGTACATTACTAGGTAGAGCTCTACAACTTTCATCCGTAATCTGACTGGCAGGGAAGTGCATTTTTCATATCTAGATCATTGACCTTCATCTATCGAATCCTCTACAATAATGGCGAGACTCCACACCACATTAAATAGAACTGGCAGTGCCATTTTAAATTAGGATCCACTTTTCTGATTTCCCATTCGTATTTACATAGGCTAAATTCCCCTGCTTTGCATTCTATTTGCGCTCCAACTACAGTGTTAGGATCGACATGCTTAATTGGTCTCGGAAAAGCAATGTAATGATGCCTTAGATCTCGTAACACTCCTCATAAGTTGAGATAAGGCCTTTCGTTATTGTTATTGCCATGAGTTTCATTCCAATAAAGTTAATGTTGACGGTCTCAACTCATCGTTCTAGAGTTTGGCGCAACTCAAATCATGTTTTTTCTACACAAGGCCATTGGATTGTCTAGCATTCTATTCACGACAGTCTCTAGCCAATATATTTCCCTCAACTCTGGTGATTTGAACGCCAGACTGAATTCATCGAGTCAGACACTCGCATCTTTGACCCCAAAGTCCTTGACAACATTCGATTTCTCCCCTTTTGATCTTCTCTCACAAAGAAACGAAAATGGCAATTATCATGTTGGCGATATTACGCTCAGGTATCGATCCGTTGGAACTACTTCATGGATCAGTGTCGATTCCGCTGCAGCCAGAAATGCGGTGACTTCTACTGGTGCCACTTCCGCAAACCTCGCACCAACCTTACCATCAGGAATACCTTTGAACATGACAAGAGCTTGGTCCGCTAGCGGAGCAGATATCAATCTCACTTTTACTATAACCAATAAAGGTAACACCAGTATCGAAATCGGAGCACTTGGGTTCCCTATTGAGTTCAATAGCATCTTCACAGATAGAACAGCAGTAGCTACTCAGCAAATGTGCTCCCTTGTAGATCCGAACATTGGCCTTGATGGCGGCTATCTGCGCGTGACACCATTATCTGGAACGGATCCAGCGCTCGTAGTGACACCATTGGAAAATACACCCCTCGAAGGATGGCGGTTTTTGGAAGAAGACCCCGACACCGCACTTTACTATCAAAGTCAAACATTTGAAGGGTTCTATTCTTGGGAAACTTATACTCTAGCATATACTCAGAATGAATGGAATGGAACGAGCCCTTGGAATCCTGGTACATCTGTAGTGCTCACAAAAGGCCAATCGATTATCAAGGGATTGAGGTTTTCTACTTCAAGTAGTATCAGCAAGATCGAAACCACTGTAGCAAACACCGGCACTCCTGTTGCTATTGGGATACCGGGATATATCATTCCCCAGGTAAGCGATATGGCTTCCACCTTCAACCTCCCATTCCCATGACCCCAGTCATTTTGCATCTCTCATCCCATGTGTATATTTGACACGTCCCTGGTGAAGTCCTGTTCCCTTCTTTCATATGACATTGATTTGTGGCCAGACGTATTTTTGACGCTTAACAGGATCTCACTGCTCAATTGTTCTTGCAACACAATTCACCTGTCTCTTCCATTACATCAACTCCTGCTGGAGCCTTCACATTTACCGCTACAGCAACTAATAAGTACAATCTTACTCCCAGCTCCTCTGCATTTGGAAGAGTGCGAGTAACAATTACATATTCTGATGGTCTTGTACAAGCGGTGAACTATGCCATCACCCTCTCAGCACCCTCAGCCATATCTACACTAGGCAAATTTCTAACAACAAACCAATGGCTTTCCAATACCAGTGACCCCTTCGGTAGAGCACCATCTGTTATCTCATATGATCGCTCAGTTAACGCTCAAGTTCTTCAAGATCCAAGGGTTTGGATTGCTGGACTGAGTGATGAAGCAGGAGCTGGATCTTGGCTTGCAGCAACCATGAAACAAGCAATTTCACCTAATGCAGCTGAGGTGACAAAATTGGAACAATTCATCACAAAAACGCTATGGGGTGATCTCCAAAACTCTGATTATAGCGTCAAAACGAGCGTATTTTACTACCAACCTGATGCTGTTTCTTACAGTTATTTATCCTCAATCGATTGGAGCAATTGGTGGAGTTGGAACAAAGAGGCTGCATATGGTACTGGGAGAACCTACGATTATGTTCATGTCACTGCTGCTTATTGGGCTCTTTATCGCGTTGCCAGATTTTATCCCACTCTCGTCACTCGGCAAACCTGGCAATGGTATTTGAATCAGGCTTATGAAACCATTCTTTATGCTACAGGTCCTAACACGGGATATGTCAATGTAGGGTTAATGGGCGAGACTGTTTGGGGGTATGTTCTGCAAGATTTACAAAATGAAGGAAATTCTACTGCAGCGAATGCAGTTATAGCTGCGATGAAAACCAGAGCAGATTTTTGGGACAGTGAGGCTGTTCCTTTTGGGAGTGAGATGGCTTGGGACTCTACTGGACAGGAGGGAGTTTATTATTGGTCCAAGTAAGTCATCTAACATCTACTCCCCAACTTCGCTAATCCCTTTGGATTTCCAGCTATTTCGGCTTGACAAGCACGGTCACGAAGACAATCAACTCAATTTTAGGATACATGCCCACGGTAAGTCATTGGGCTTGGAATGGCAATGCGAGAAGATATTGGGATTTCATGTGCGTCTATCACACTCTCCACATCCCTATTCTAACCTTCACAATCACAAATGAACTAAGCTAAAAACAACAAAAGCTACGGAGGCAAATTAATGCGATTCGAAAGAATGGGTCATCACTATGGCTCCGGTCTAAACGCCCTTCCCTTGCTATCATACTTCGAGCAAAATCCCTCTCAAACATATCTGCTCAGAGTCGGATACGGCGGAACAAACGGTCCATTATCTAATATCGACCGCGAAGGTTTCGCCTCAGCCGCTTTCCATACCTGGCCTGATACCATGGCTTGGGATGGATATAGTGGGGACTACGGACCGAATTTCGTAGGGTTGGCACTAGGATCCGGTGTCTACGTCGTAGATGATGCTGGATTAGGTCTTATTGCTTTTGGCGGTACCCTCTCCGGCTCAAACACATCGTGGACTGTAGAGCCCAGAGATGCGGTAAGGAGGAAAGTATACATCGCGCAGCTGGGATTTAAATTTGAGGTCGATGCGGGGGTTATTGAAAGTGTGGAGTATGGGGATGGAAAGGTGCGGGTTAGTATCGTGCAGAGTGTGGAGACGGTGAGTGGGATGGCGAGGGCGAGTGAGACAATTTTGAGAGTTACGAAGATGGCGCAGGTGGGTGAGGTGGGGAAGGCGGTTTTGAATGGGTTGGAGGGTTTGAGGGGGGGGTGGAAGGTGGATCTTAGGGGGGGAAGGGTGGTTGTTGCGGTTGAGTTTGAGTAGGGAGATGGTGAGCGGAGTATGGAGGTATGGATGGTTACTGTTCAATGTATGGTGACTGCTTGGAAAAAGATTAATTGAGCATGAGGTCAGTATTCTTATGTAAGGGTCTCACATAGAGGGGAGATTCTAGTGCAATGGGTGGATCTATTCACAAATTATATAGGAGGCGAGAGTTTATTGAGCAAGAGAGTAAGATCTTTGCTGCTGGGTAATATACTTATTACTACCAAATTATGGAAAAAGAATGCGAAAAACTATCTGGCTTTTGAAGAAAAGCTGAAAAATCTCCGCTTGATACGCGGGCACTCAGCTCGGGGGACACTACTGTCCTACATAAATGACGACACATTGCGATTATTACATATTTACCATCAATATTTTCCCAGATGAAATACTCAGTCGGATTCCTAGTTATATATCTCTATATCTCCATCCACTCTCCTCTCCTCCCCTCTCCTATCCTCCCATTCTCCAGGATACACAACATCATAAACTTCCAATAAACAAAACTCACTCCCCCCCCACAACAAACCTCAAATACCTAGGTATGCATATACGTACGCAGCAACCATCCAGCCCCCCCGCAAACAATAAACAAATAAATCACTCATCTCACCACCATCACATTACAAATCACAGCTTCTGCTCCGTTGTCATCTAGCGATTTTGATTATTTGCATTAATTTTTTTTTTTTTAGCATTGTGAGAATACTGATGCGGTATACCTCCCTCCTATCTTTGAAAAAAAAAAAAAAAAAACCCTCCCTTCGCTTCTCATACTCCTACTTCTTTTCTATCTCTATTTCACACCCCATCTATCTACCAATGAAATTTGTGAAAATAACCTCACTTGATTTTCTATTCCAATCATGATGCTTTATTCCAGCCCCATCCATCCATCTTCATTCTCCAAAACACCTACATTTCCCTTTCTCTTATACCTCACTTCTCCTTTCCCGTTCCCCTTCTCGATTTCACATACAAGATACATGTCAACCCCATCCATAACCATCACCCGCCACCCTATGAAACTCCCCTCCCCCTCAAGCATCTCAAAATACATTAAGATCCAAAATCTTCATCCTACCCTATTTCCTAGATAATCAAGTGATCATCATCACCATCATCATTATCATCATCATTACCAAGCAATTTGATAATTGTATAGACTATACATGATCTCTATGTTCTATTCTATACTGGGGAGACATCTTGCTGTGAGGGATATTGCGCACATCTGATTCGCTTCGCTTCGCTGGGTTATGTATGTATAAATTGTATATATATTGTATAAGTATACTTCGTAGTGATGGAGATTATTGGAGAAGCAGTGCGAAGAGATGTCGAGGAGAATTTTGGAAGTGTGGTGGTTTGCTTTCTGCACTTTATTGCTGATAAGAGGTAGTTACGTTGGGAAGGGATAGGTGTGAATGGATATTGGTGGTTTTTGCACTTGCTGAATGCAAGTAATTCGTTCTTCTTTCGTTGGTCGTCGATTGATTCATGTTGTTAGTCCCGATGGTAGTGAATTCGAATAATGTGATCTGACACACGTCGAGCCTTTCAAAATTTTAACAGCGTAACACTCCCATCTCTCCATCAAACCCCATCCCATCACACTACCCCATTCAACCCAACCCACCCCACCCCACGCCTCCCCTCCGCCACTCACCCCACAACCCCTTCCCACAACCAATACTCGCTCTCAACTTTTCCAAACTCGCCGTCGTCAATCTTAACCAATCTACTTCCTTCCCCGCCCCTACTCCCCTTCCCCTTGCATAAAACCCCAACGTGCCGATTTGCACCCGCCACGACTCGCGACAGTTGACAAAGCTATATTTCCCCTTCATTCCTTTCCCATCTTTGAACGTGATGTCTACTTTTGCGCTCGGGAGTTGTGTGGTGCGCACCCGGAAGAGAAGGGATCGGTGGCCGAGTTTCTTAGTTTCGTGGAGAGTGCGGGAGCCGAGGGAGGTCATCTGGAGGGGTGTTAGTATGAAAATAAACAGAAAGAAAGGAAGAAAGAAAGAAAGAAAATGTCCTGCGATCTAACACAGAAAACACAACACAAACTCAAACTCAAACTTACAATCGCAATCTCCACCACCGAAAACCCATTCGCCGGATTCGGCATACTCACAATGACAGCCGGGTGATCAAACGCATTAACATGCAACTTCGGATCCACGTACGCATTATGCACAATATCTTCTTTCGACGGGAGCCACACGATGGTACCAGGCGTGATATCTTTGACATGATGCGATTGGATGTAATATTCCGGAGGCTGGGTAGCAGTAGTACTCTTCCGAGTCGAGATGTTGAATTCAGGGATAAGAGGTTTCGAGAGGGAGAGAGAAAGCGAGCGGGTTATGGGGGAGTGGATGCCGGGAGATCGTTCGCTTGTTGATAATGAAGAGAGAGCGAGTTTGTGTTTTTGTTTATGCGGTGTTGCGATGATTTTTGGGGGACGCGGAGGAGGGGCTTTCTCGGCAGAAGGAGGAGGAGATGAAGATGTTAAATCTATAACGATTGGTTGTTTCGCGGCTCTACTTTTGGTATCTGCAGGTACTGCGAGTTTAGGCCCACGATGTATATCACCCTGCCGCGACAAATTTGCTCGAACCTTGCTCTTCTCTTTAGCAGTCTTTGGTTTAGCTTTAGTTTTTGCTTTCGCCTTTCCCTTTACTCCCGGTTTGAATCGAGCCATTCCAATGTACAGAAGCTTAGCCAGCCCACTGAAATTGAATCTATATAACGCGTAGAAAAAGCGTTTCAAAACTTATCAAGACTTCTCCAGACGCGGACCACAATCCAAATCCCTCAAACAAGAACACGTTGCCCTTGAATAATACAATACGAAGACTATCCTCGAAAAAGCTTCTTTCCTCAAATTAGATAGAAATTACAATCCGAATCAAATCTTCAAAAAACCCCCAAATAATCCACACCATGCACAAACTCAACTAGTAAACAAAGAGAAAGCAAAAAATAGATATCTTTCCTCCAAGAATGTTTCCGGTATTCTTTGTTCAGATACTTATCGAATATAAGAATTACTTAGTCTAGGGAAGCAAATGATGATTTATAGATTCAATCGGAATGGAATCCACAGATCACACGTATATGCTAGTTTTGATACGGGTACATTCACTCAATTGGGTACGAGTACAATATCGAGCACATCGGAGAATCAGAGTGATTAGTCAGCATCTTTTTATGCAGAAAGATTCACAAATATGATTCACGTCATAGAACAATCACAGAATGCATAAAATCGTCATCCACAATTTTCAGGAGAAATCCTCGAGTAGGCATGACTGGTAGAACATCAAGAATATATCTGCAAATTGCTTCTTATTAACCTATTACAATACCTCGCCATCAATGCCCGGTTTCCTTATATGTCCGAATAATGCAACATCAATACCGTATCTATCTTTATCCAATGTACCATCCAATGCCATGCCATCATACAATTCTCAAAACCCAGTAATATCCTGAAATTGGTATATACACATCCCCCCTCCTCCTATCTTCCATATGTATAATAAGATCCTCCCCCGATCCTCCATTCCCCATGATCTATTCTTAAACAATCTTATAAGCTATTTTCGCGATATAGAAGCAAGCTAGTCCGAAAAATAGTAAACCAGCTGTGATGCACCAGAACCAGGTCAAATCTCCTTCGTAGTCCTGACCAGGTACCCATACGTTCATACCCCAAAGACCAGTAATGATATTCATGGGTAAAACAATGGTACCAAGGACTGTAAGTTTGCCGAGAACATCCGCGGTTTGTTCTTGACGTTCATTCATGCGGATATTAATTTGAGCAAGGTAATTGCCATGAGAGCGAGCTAGGATTCTGTAGATGTGTTAGTAACGACTTTGATCATGCTTCAATCAGAGGAATAACAAACTTTTCATAATGGGATAAATTTCCAGTCATAGTAACGATATGATCTTGAATATCTCCCAGATACAATCCAATCTCACTTCGTGGAGCAATCTCCCATTGCTCATTGCATCTTTTAGCGAATCCCTTGATGACATCTGCTTTGTTGCCTAGCAGTCTGTAAAGACCCATAACTTTCTTTCGGCAATCGCCAACTCTTCGAAGCATGTCTCCTCCGCTTTCGCCCGAAGTACCATCACCAGCTTCAGATTTCTTCTCATTATCCCTCGTAGACTTTTCATTTTCCGCTGGAGAGTGAAGTTTCAAAATAGCATCATCAATGTCATCAACTTCGTCTTCGATAGTTTGAATCAAAGGAGCGAAAACATCAGTAATATCATCAATGATAGCATATGATATCCAATCAGCCGTGAGCCTCAAGTAGTCTTTCAATTGTCGAATTCGTCGTCGAACATTAGCTGGATGTGGTGTTTGAGAAAAGTGAAAACTAATAACCCCATCACGGAAGACTACCACATACATATTGAGAGGCTCTAAGAAATTGTCGTTGTTCATATCTTGCTCGAATGATCGATAATTGACAAAGTAATAATGTCGAAATAATTCGACCTTTTCTCGAGCTTCCTGCATCAAGATATCCTCGGCTGTCAAGGGATGTATTCCAAAGGTTTTCGAAATAATTTTCATCTCGGCATCCGTTGGAGAAAGAACATCAAGCCACCAGGTAGGACGATCACCATATCTTTTGGGCTTCTCTTCAAGCGGTGGAGTAGACTTTGGTGGCGACGATTTATTTGGGGATGCGTCGTGGGAGGTTTGCCTAGAATGCGATTCTGAAGGGCGCCCTGCGCGAGGAGATTCTGTACGTCTTGATTCTTGATTTGCCATATCAATTATAGATGATTGACGAGTTGCCGATTTCGAATCTTCGTTATGAGGTCCCAGGGCATGATTAATGTATGCATTTTCTCGACGAATATCCGTATCATCAGCCTCATCCTCGGTTTCAGAATCAGAACTATCATCAATTATAGGACGATCAGGAATAAATAATTCTCTAAAACTTCCACCAGGTTGAACAAGTTCTGAAATTGTTTGACTGTGAATGGTGCTTGGAAATTCTTCGTTGAAGTAGGTAAATCGATATGGTGCATCGTCCTCTGCTCGATGCCAACCTTTGTGAATTGGTCGAAGCCGTCCATTAATCAACTGAGGTTCTGTGATTTTCTTAGCCCGTCTCTCTTCACTTCTGCCTTCTTTTTCAAATCTGCTCCAATCGTCGAGGACAGATAGATTTGGAAATTTCCTTTTATGGCGCCGTGATCTGTATGCTTCATCTTCTTGTTGAGGAGCATCTTCTTCTGCCATTTCAGACATATCAACTGGAAAGCACACATCTTCTTCGGCTTGCAATGCGATAGTATGTCTACGTTCACCGTAAGATGATCCTTTGCGCGGAGTGCCTGGAATTGAATCATCCTCACATGCATCTTCTGGGAGAGACCTGAAAGATCTCATAGATCCTGCCTGAATAGAATCTTGCTCTGGTGAATGATCGCGAACCATTACATCTCCAAAGCTCATGTTCGGATTTGTGGCTCCAAGCACTGGAGACCCTGGAACCGAAGGTGGATAGTTGACATTGTATTCATCATTCTGCCTAGCCAAACCAGATGTCGTCTTTTCGAAAATCGTCTTCTTTTTGCTATGATTTGATGACCTGCTAGAGCTTCGGCGACTACGTTTTCCTTGTTGAAGAAAATTACTAGAGCTTTTCGATTTCGAAGCGCTGGAAATAAGTGGAGTCCTCTCATCGGTTTCTTCCATCAGAGCTTCGTCATCAGAGTTGCTCTTCGATTTACCGGTGACAGGTCTTCTAGAAACGGTTTCCGACGATTTGAATGGATTATTATACGAAGGTCGGCTAAAAGAAGGACTATCATACATCTGACCGAAAGCGTTTTGACCCATTGTCGAAGGTCTTCGAGGTCGCATACTTTGATGATCTCTGTCGCAAGACTATGTTAGGGTATGCTATCTATCATATGCCATTCAAAGACTCACCTATGATCCAAAAGTTCTCCGCTCTCAATACTAGTATTACTCAAGTTTCTTCCTCTATAGAAGCTTGACCTTGTTACACTTTGCGGAACATTTCGTTGTGCCATTGGCGTTTCGACCATGCCATTCCCATCCTCAGTTGATGCGGCAAAAGATTGTCTTCTTGGTCTCTTTTTCTTTCCACCCCGATGATTATTTCTCTTCTTCTTAGAGTTGTTCTTCTCTTTCCCGGTATTGGGCGTTGACGTCGCATTGGAATCATTGGAATGATCTTGTGGTGGCTGTATAGCAGTGGGTTCCGGTCTCTGAGGTGGTGTGGCACGAGTATTTGAGCTTGTAGGCTCTGTCGCACGAGGTGGAGGTGGTGCAGACATTGTGAGGGAAAACGAGTATTTCCGTCGAGGGACACCAAAAGTTTCTTCGACCGGCTGATATAAGGTAAGGTAAGTCAAGTTAAGAGTCTGCGAACGGGACCAATTGAATGATGATCCAATCAAGGTAAGTTCCTTTAACCTGCAAGGAGATAGATAACGGCGATAGAATCGTTTATCGCAATACGATACATTTGTGATAGGTAAAACAAGGCGAAGTGCAGAATCTGATCTTTTTTTTTTCCTCACCAGAAAAGAAATTCGAAATGAGAAATCAGAAATGTTGTAATGTTGTGTGAGTTTATGGAAGGAAAAAGTTGGTTTTTGAATTTGGGTCGAGCCAAAGCGCTATCTAAGCAGCTAAAAGCCCGAGTAGGCTAGTTCTACGGCCATTTATCAATTATGACGCCTTGGAACTTGCGATTTTCCGAACCAAGGAAGAATCCGACAGTCTTAGTTGGAAGCTTGACCTTACTCGGTCCTTGGCTTTATATTCTGGACGATAAAGAGACAGGAAGATGGGAAAAGAAATATATTTACGAGAATGTCACGAGAGTCACGAGAGTCATGAGAGTCAACAGAGTCAACAGAGTCAACAGACGTCTAATAAATATATAGTCAGAATATAAAGAATTCAATTGATACCTCCCTCTCGACTCGCACATCTAGTTAGATAACTATCTATTATCTAGACACTCCCCTTGCGGGGTCGAGAACCGTTTCGATGCACATTGTATCTAGGTACATATCATCCTCAGCCATTTCGGTAAATAGTATTTATACATTCGTGATTCGTAAGGAACCAGGTACAATATACGATCTAGCTCCTATAGAGTAATCATCACCATTCTCCAATAAGTAACTGATGATTGGTTGAGAAAAGATCATCGGATGTACCTACCTACCTAGTTCAATATTGATGTCGTGTGCTCAATTGCTTGTTTGGATCAAGATTCTTGAAGCTGTTTACTCTGTATATATCTATCCTATGTATATTTATATATATATATATATATGTGTGTGTAAAAAGCAAGATTTACTTGATGTATGCAGATTGAGAAATCGGCGAAACAATATAACGGGAACCTCATAATAACTTGTCTAATATTCTAATATTCCAATAATAATACCTTCCTCCAAATCTGGCGATCGAAATGCTGTTTGATATTATTAATAATAATATTGATAATGTTTGACAATCAGCTACTCCACCCTTCAAGCTTCAAGCTTCCTTAATGATTAGAACCCCATTTCAGCGCACGGAATCCATCACACTTCAAAGCTTCACGAAATATTGGAAAAGTAATAATCATCTGATTATCAAATCCACCGAAATCACATGCGTCGTCGTCGTCTCTACACAGGCGAAATAAGAGACAGGAATTGAGTACCCTTTCAAAGAACCTTCTTTAATTGCATTATAAATCGATATCAAGTTAAGTACTCAAATCCGAGAAGACCAAACGAAAATTTGAGTCGTCTTTAATTTAATAATCAGGACTATATGTATTCAATATAATATGAAAGAGAAATTTGAATTATTGAAGTCCTTTCAAATGGTACTCGATTACCGCCTCTTGTTTCGCTTATAAGGTTAGAGGTCGTCTACATAATATACTATCCACGCATCTCTTTCTAACCACTCGACGATCTTGATAGATACATGGAAAGAAAGATAAACCTCCTGAACGGTAAGAAAGTTGATGATAATTGCATATCAGTACATAAAAACTCAGAACAGTAACGAAAGAATCCAACAACCAAAAGCCCCATCCCCCGCTCCGCACCCCCTTCTTAAACTCCACCCCCTCCCTTGCCGTCAACCCAACATTCCCCACGCCGCAATCCCCAATACACTCGCCAACCTCAGTGCAGTCACCTTCCTATTGCCCCAGTACCAAAAAATCGCACAATCCGCGATTCCACAATACGCACCCATAACCGCCATTGTCGTATCGACCGCGTGCAGATTTCCCTGGATGTAGAAAATGAGGGTGAGGAGTCCTAATGTACTGGTGCGCATGGTGTAGCCGTAACAGACGGTTTGAGCAGAGGGAGAGGAGGCGATGGAGGGGGGCATGTCCCAGCTGAGGAGGGCGGCTTGAGAACGAGAGAGTCCGTGGAAGAGCCTGCCAAGGAACATGGGGAGGGAGGTGAGGAGGCAGGGGATGTGGAGGGGGAGAGGTGGGTGAGCATTGTGGAGTGGTTTGAGGTTTTGGGATGGTGATGGATGAGAAAGGTATTAAGGGTGAGGTTTGTGAGGTTTGTGAGGCTTTGAGGAGATTGTAACGACTAATCTGAGGAGAACAAGAGTTGGATGCGAGCACTTTTATGACTTGGAAATGAGTAATTCCGATTCTCAACTGTTATACACCGGTATTTCCTGAATGGATAAACATAAATGTGTTCTACGCGAGAAATCTACAAAATGTTGGATTGGTTATTCTTACACGTAGCCGAAAGATGTATGGAAATTGAGCATCGTTAGTATCACTTCTTTACCGTTCAAATCATGAATTCCATACGAATAAGATATCGAAATCCAAAATAAGCGAATAAACAATTGAGGGTTTGTGTTTAGAGAGTTATATACAATCAGATATCTTCCATATAAAGTTAAATAAGAATGTAGAAAAATAAATTGAAGTCCTCCTGAACCTGAAAAGTAGTCAATTCCCGCTTAATGTTTCAGTTAAGAGGATCCAGATGTTAATCGAATAAGATCTCACTCCTCATCTTTTCAATGCTGGATTTTGATATACTCAGTCGATGTTTGTTTGTTTGAATTGGTAGGTTTAATTAGAGTAGAATTTCTTGGAATAGCAAATAGTGCTGGATTATTGATGATGTGGATTGGAGTATTCGATTTGTATTTTTAGGTAGAGTGTGATATGTAGAAGTTGAGAATAAGACTCTGGGATTTTTTGCTATCGCTTCATTGATGGATTCTGAGGGAATGGGAATACTGGATAGGGGGATTGCTGTTGATGAGTTGAGTTGTGATGGACGACTTGGAGTGGATGGTCTGATGGGCGATGGTACTGATATCACTATATGATAATATCAAGGACAACTAAATATCTGAAAGCTATGAATAAACAGTAAACAAATCTACAGCAACATCAATCCCAAGCCATCATATCAATACCAGTCATTCTCTCTCCCTTGCTCCGATTCCCGCCTAACATCGCATGAAACCCCAACTCCCACATCCAAAATTCCCACCTATTCCCTCCCAAAATTCTGTACTTCTTCGCTTAATTCACACAAACCGTGAGCGATCTCTAGTTAAGCTAATTGTTCTCGAATGGTAGTGATACGTCATGTATGTATGAGCATATTCCGAAGGTTGGATCATGTAATTTCGATAAAGTAATGAACTTGACCTTCACCTTCACACGTCTCAATCTCTTTACCTTTACTCACCATAAACTTGAGAATTTTAGGATCTCCTACCACTCATCCACTCCCTCCGTAAACCTCATCAACCCTCCTAACTCCCACACACCATCCCCTCACTCTACCAAGCAGCACCTTCAAACATGTCTCCCACCATCACAATCGACGACCTCCCCCTCCAAATTGCCCAAAACCTAGAACCATAGCCCCTAGAACCCCCAGAAACAAACAATGCAACCCTACAAAACATTCCAAACCCCTTCAAACACACATGGGACATCCTCTCCGTATTCCTCGCCCTCCTCCTCCTATCCCTCATGTCCTTTATCGACGCGGCTATTATCACAACCGCACTTCCTACTATATTCCGAGAACTCGGTAATGAGCAGGATTACATTTGTAAGCTTTCTCCCCCCCCCCCCCCCTCCTTTTTTAATGATTCTTGATTCTTACCAATATCGACTACCTAACCAGGGGTAATTAACACGTTCCTCTTCGCCTCCACCGTCCCCCAGCCCCTCTTCGCGCAAACCTCCAACATCCTCGGCCAACACACCCCCATCCTAATCTCCCTCTCCCTTTCCATCCTCAACAGCGGTATCGCCAGCGGCGCCCAAACTTCCGCAACTTTAATCGCCGCTCGCACAATCCAAGGTCTAGGCACAAGCGGCCTCTACGTCCTCGCAGATATGATTCTCTGAGATATCATCCCCTCGTCATCGCGGCCCCTATCTAAACGGTGTTCTCTCCATGGAAGCCGTAGGCTCAACCGTCGCGCCAGCAATTGGAGACGGGTGTTCTGGATTAATCTCCTTGTGGAAGAAGTGAGATTTCTGATTCTTTTACTATATCTCTGAGTTCAGTGTCGGAAAATCCAGAATGGAGCACCACATGAAAAGAAGTAGATTTTCTCGGAAATGCAATCTTCATCCCGAGTATCATTTCTGTTCTTCTCGGTTTAGTCATAGGCGGTACGCGATATCCCTGGAAATCATGGCAGGTGATCGTTCCCCTAATTCTCGGTTTCTTCGGATGGTTCATCTTCCACCCGGTGGTGCAAAAACCCACCATGCCTCCTCGCCTATTCCAGCATCGCACATCAGCCATTAGTTTCCTCCTCATCTTCCTCGCTTCCACCATCATCACCGCTGCGAATTGTTTCCTCCCGGTCTACTTCCAAGCTGTGAACCAAGCATCCCCGCTCGATTCAAGTATCTACTATCTCTCATTCGCGCTGGCCATCATCCCAGTTGGCGGGCTCAGCGCAGCATTTATATCGAAACCCGGTCTTTATATCTCTCTCCACGCAATCGGCTTCGCACTCTCGCCATCGGAGCCGAACTCCTCTCAACGCTACCGCAACCTCCAACCGCGGTTCTTGGATCGGATATCAAATCATCACACCAGCGACGCAGGTTAATCTTCACCTCGACTCTCATCTCCACGCTTGCGCCGTTGAGAGAAGAAGATGTAGCGATTGCGACTGGTGCGTATTCATTTGTGCGTTCTTTTGGTTTTGCGTGGGGTTCGACGATGCTTCGATGGTGTTTAATAGCCAGATTGATAGGTATTTGTGGATAGTGGGAGACGAGGCGGTGCGTGCTTCGTTAAATAATGAACAAACATGTGCATATTCCAATGAAGGGACCCTTAATGCATTGTCTGCTGTCACTCCAACACAAGTCATACAAGCCTATATAAAAGCTCTATGAGTCATCTGGCTAATAATTGCTGCCGTCTTCTGCTTTGGATTCCTCTGTGTATCTAAAGAAAAGCATGTAGAGCTGTGGAAAGAGAAGGAAATGAATTTGGATTTGTGGAGAAGGAGTCTAGAGATCATTGACTGAGATGATCGATCCAAGTTGGAAGATATGACAATAAGCTGATAGTACGGTAATTTACTCTCATGCCCTTGATGTTTTACGATAGAATCCATGATAGAGTCTATTCTAAACAGAATCTAACTTTTTTGAGCTAGATTCTATGATGAAAGGGGGAGTAAGTTCTACAGTGGGAGAGTATATTCTATAATAAGAGAGTAGATTCTAGCCATCAAAAGCCAGATTTTAATCTAAAATAACTAGATTCTATAAAAGGATAATAATATATCACTATAAGTATATTATTCTTTTCGATAAATTCCTCTCATACCATAGAATCCATAATTTCTTTACTCTCCTATCTCTCAAATTCCATAACAAAATCTATTTCAAAATTAAAGATTCCAATCTATTATAGCTTAGAAGGAAAGAAAATTCGAAAAAAGTCAAAGGAAAAGTAGTAATACACCTACCTATAGGATCTGACTATTTTGAATTAGAATCTATCGCCTTATAGAATCTGCCTCCTTATAAAATTTACCTCCTCCTATATCATCAGTCTAAAACAACCAGAATCCATCCTCCTCCTATATTACCTAGCCGAAAATGACTCAACTCCAAGGAGCATGAGAGTAATCCACCCTCTCCTCATCTAACTCCTCAACCTTTCCAATTTTCTAATCATTATAAATCAAAATCTCTCCCACATCCCACATCCCAAATCCCAAAATCCCAATCCCAATCCCAACAAACCAATAAACTCCAGCACAACTTCCAAAACACACCCAAGAGTACTCCAATCCAATCCAATCCATTCCATTCCATTCCACCAACCAACAATCAAAGTTAAACAATATGCACCAACATACCAATAAAACTATCATACCATATCATATAATATCATATCACTTAACACAGCACAATTCCCAAGCTACATACTCTTCAGAGTAATATCTAATCAAGACTCCGTAATCAATTCCACTCTGACATTAAGATCCCTCTAATCCCAATCCCAATCCCAATCCCCACTCCCCACTCCCCACTCCTCGAATCAAGAATCAAGAATCAAGAATCAAGAATCAAGAATCAAGAATCAAGAATCAAGAATCAATAATCAAAAATCAAAAATCAAAAATCAAAAGATTAATACATCCCATCGATTCGGAATACAAACTACTCGGACCAATAGAGATAAGCAGGAAATGGACAGTACAGGCGAAAGAGTACATATAATGCGCAAATACCTTGTAATCCAACTGGGGATCTCTCCTCCAGTGATCCTACCATCTACCATCTACCATCTGAAAATAAATGCCCTTGCATCAAAAGCACAACCCCGACAATCCCCCCTTACCCCCTCGCCAAAATCTTAGCTCCAAATCACCCATCTGAACAGCGACTCCCTATACAAACAAACTCTTCAAGACTATACCCAACCTTAATCACTATCGAATCACAATCAAGCGTCACGTCACACCAACCCAAATGACCAATGTAAAGAAGTAATTGTATAATATTGAGTTATTTTCCTTTCCTACCCATCCGTTCCCATCCCGTATCTACATAAACCCCTTAAACCATACCATGTCCCTTTCCTCACATGCACAGCATAGATTCCCGAATATCATATCCACATCCAGTGAGTACCGTACATCCACCATAAGTAGGATGGTGAAAACGAAAAGAAAAACCCCCATTTGCTCAATATCACAAAAAGCAAATAAATATCATATTTCCCCCTCCAACCATATTCGTAAAATCATTACAATCATTTCCCAACGTGCCGTTCATTTTAATCCCGGAAAGTAGAGCAAGTTATAATACAAGGAATAATGTTGATTAAAACAAGAAGCTATATAGCCTCAACGAAGAGTATAATTGCCTTAATCAAGGCGTGGCTAGATGAGTGAAAGCTCAAATTTTGAATAGAAGAAACTCCAAATTGCTCCATATGCAACAGCGCATAATTCATGGATATCGTGGGCTCAGAAGCGCAAATATGCAAGACAAAGAAATAAATGTGTCCCGACGCCAATGGAACGGTGACCAATCGTCTATTGTACAGCAATTCATAGACCATCTTAATTTCGACCGCCATTTTCCTTTTCTCTGATTTCGGCAAGCCTGGTATCAAGTCGAGTGAGTCTTGATTGTAGTGAAGGTCTTTCATCAAAATCAGAAGAATCTATCGAGTGACGTGGTTTATGCATAGTCACTATTCCAGAGTGTCGAACAGGTGTCTTTTGATGAGTAGCTCTTCTAGGAAATGTATTGCTTGGTTTCTCCATAAAAGGCGATCGTAAACGTGGAGCATCGAATGTGGCCGATGGAAGTAACCTTGGCTGGGATCTTGGCGACGGACTAATATCGGGAATAAGACCCGTCTTTTCTGGTCCTGTTGAAAGAGGTTGAAACAATCCTGGCATGCGAGTTCTGAAGAGATCATCACCGATGGTGAATGCTCTAGTTCGTACTCGTCGTTGTTGGTTTTCTGAGAGAGGCATGCCATATATCTGCTCATTCATGCTATTTGGCTTCAAAATTGCTCCACCTGAATTTAGGTTTTCGAAATGATTTTGAACTCGCCTTTTGTGTTCCTTGTTGTTTGAAGGACGAGGAGGATCAAAGTGAAGGGGTGATCTGAGACGAGGTGCAGGTCCTGGACCTGATATCATATCAGAATGAACGCGAAAAGCTGAAGGCCGAGGTTCATCAAATGCCCCATCCATGGTCGAACTAGGTCCATACGTCCGAGCCATGAACGGCGACCCGAGACTTCGAGTTCTCGAGTCATCTAAGCTCAGATTGGTGGCACGGGATCTAACCCAGCCCCTAGGTTGACACATTGATCGGCGTGGTCTAGTACTGGAAGATTCTTGGGAAGTCGCGAGTTGAGCTAAAGGTCCATTCGGTTGCATGGTTTCAGATGTACTTGTCGTTAGCGATATTGCGATATCTTTAGTGTTGAAAGACTTTGGAATAGGAACTTGTGGCTCAGGAGTTCTGAATCGTGAACGGGGATTACGTTGTGTAAAAGGAGTAGAATTTCTAGATTGAAGGTGCATATGTCGTTGAACTGCGCTGGTATCTTTCGTCTTGCAAAGTTCGCGAAGATGTGCTCGAGTAGCTGAACTTGTGTGGGGCCACTGTGTGTATGTTCTTTGTCGATCTTCAATCGGGGTCGCCAGCTGGCCGTGTTCAGAAGGTGCCGCACGTGATGTATGATTGGAAGTTTTGGCACTGTGAATTCCTTTGGGTCCCTTCCAACTCTTTTTTGCTTGTCGAGCAACACGATGGCATACACCTTCCGGAGGCACAGCGCAAGCCCCGATTCGAAAGGGTGTCACGACTGGATCTTGGAGGTAGAGGAGATAGACCGACCATAAATGAGCACTCATTGCTGAAGTCCATGGTGCATCCTTTCGAGACTTGTGACGAAGGTTTGCGTTGAGAACGGTGTCGTTTGGTATGGCGGCTTCATTGTGAAGCTTCCTGCCCTTGGCTTTTGAATATGATGGAAATGAGAATGGATCGGCACAATCGGACTCAGGACTTGTACAACTACCATCTTCAGAGTACCTCGAGAGATGGCCTTCGCTATAAAATGAATCTTCAGAGCGTAACGATGCGGCAGATGTTGGTCGTTCAATATCAAGCGCACTTGGCGACGAGAGTCCCATTCTCCAATCGGGACGTTGAAGGTTTGTTTCTTCCATGGCTAAAGTAGGTATTGGAGTTTTCGGAGGAGATGAGAATCTTGTATTGTATGTATGCGGGGCCAAGAAAGATGTACTGATGGAAAGTGGGTCTCGGTCTGGCATATCGCAATCTGACGATACGTGGGGAGCTATTTGTGGCTCCTCGATTGTAGGGATAGGGATATCTGCAGCTGCAACAGAAGCGAGAAAATGTTCAGTTGGTGCTTGCAAGTTAGACACATTTCGTCGTCTGACCTTTAAACGATTTGGACGGGGTGGAGAAGGTGGACCCTCCGATCCAACAAGGTTGAAGGGTTCGGGTGTAGTTGGCTGATCTCCTTCAAGGTGATGAAAGCGGAAACCCCGAGGAAGGGTATTTGACCCGTTTTCATGGTGAAGTGACATCGTGTGGATGGCTTTAGTTGAAACGTTTTGAGATTTGACTGAAGGTTGTAGAATTGTGAAATGGAAAAAGTGGGAATTCGATCTTGTACAGAACGCCAGAAGCAGATCTCACTGGTTGCAATGCAATTTTTCAAATTACAGGAGATATCAAGTGTAATGAGAAGGCTGGAAAAGTCGAATAGATCGAAAATGAGAGTGGATTGTAAAAGAATCCAGAAACGAACGTTTTGGCGGGTGATCAAAAGTAAATGAAAATCGGTCGATGATTCGGGACGAGCGAAGTGAATATATCCAAGCCAATATGAAGCTTGAATTCACCTCCCAACTTCAACAGATCCTATCAATAGATATTTCGGAAAATTCCTTCTGAATACAGACTGGTGCGAAAGAGGCCCTGCATAAACAATTTGATGTTGACGATCTTGAAGAATCGAATCAATGATTAGGGTGTGATTTAATTGATAGATTTGAACGAATCAGGAACTGAATCCCCAGCT